ATTTCGGCAAACCATATAGTCGCGTTGTATACGATCCAGTCAGTTTAATCGAGTCGTGAATTTCAGACGCGATCACTCCTTTTTTCTTTAGTTCTATAAGCGAATTCGTCAGTTGTTTTTCCACCTTTTTATTGATGTCGTTATTACTGGTGACTTTCTGAAATTTGCTAGGATCATCTAGCATTCCTTTCATTTTAGCTACGTAATCAGATTTATTCATAAGAACTATACCTCCCCCCTTGTCTAGTTTGCTCATGATCAAAGTATCATCTTTTTTGAGTTTTGTTAAAGCCTCACGGTGCAGTTTAGTGAAAAGGAGATTAGTAGAAGGCTTACTGGTTTTATATTGTTGGCAGCCATCGACTAAAGTTGTCTTAAATCTAGAGACATCCTCCACTGAGGTAGGGAACAGGTCGGTTGTTTGTGAAAAACATTTTTAAACTGCACATTGGTATGTAGGTGATTGATTTTCTGACCATTCTAAAAAATCTTGGCCCCAGGGACAAAGCATATAACTGTATTAGATTAAGTTCAATGTCTGAAAAATTGTGTACATACCGAGTCGGATCCGGAGGATTTTTTTTACCAGAGTTTTCACCAGCTTATTCGTTGTCTTCTCAGATCTGTTCTTAGAAACTTTTCCGACATATTCAATCAATAATGAATGAATTTCCGATTGCAGGTTATCAACGTAATGTTGTCTGAGAAGAAGATTCCTATCCAAGTCGCGGATATTCATTTTTAAAGTATCTATTTCATTGCATTACGGGGTTGTGAAGATTGTTAAGTTACACATTTTTGAAACCATGAATCGATCAATGTTAGACCACCATTAGAAACCTGGAAGCACTGGACGACCGTTTCGCCCTGGTATGGGACTACTTAGCAGTGCGTATCCACGACTCCTGCACCCCGCAGGATTCGAACCCAGGACCTTCGGTATTGTGCGAGAACGCCCTAACCGTTAGACCACTGAGCCGGTTTCCAACGGTGTATATTAGAGTAAAGCCTGATGACGACCTAATCAAAAACAATATTGTTCGCTTATATGTGTTGTTCTAATAATTATTCATCTGAAATTATTTCTAAAACAAACGATGAAAATAGATTTGGCGTTTTGCGTTTTTAGCTGCTAATGTAGATTGTTTAATTAAAAATATTTAACATTCTTTCTAGTGTCAAACTGAAATTTTATCCATTTCTTTGCTCATAGATTGATATTATCTATTTAGAAAAGATGAGTAAATGGAAATACACTATAATCACAGTAAAAATAGCATTCTTATTTAGTTTCAGACGCACGTTTTTTTTTGAATGAATTCAGAGAAAAAAAAACTTGTACGCATTTTTTCTTTTCCTCCTGGAAATTAGAAAAAATTTTTAAATTATATTAAAGTTTTCAAGTGCTACTTGCTAATAGAAAATTTTTTTTTCCGTACACTTACAACTTGTATACATTTTCATTTTTTAAACAGAAAAAAAAGCAAGAAATATTTCAATTATATGAAATAGCACTTTCAAAGCATATACATCACAGTTTCTTCAATTGTTTTATGCTTGTTTTTCGTAATTTTAAAACTCTTTTTTAATGGTGTAACATTATTGTTTTTTTTTGTGTGTACGTCTCAATTTCAATTGAATGAATTTTTTTTACTTTCAGATTGAAAGTAATAAAAACTGTAGAAATTATAACTGAATCTTGTCTGAATTGTTGTCGTTAAAGGGTGGGTAAAATATCACTATTTAAAAGAAGAGAAAATTAATTGTACATTTTTTTTATAGAAAGAAAATTAAATTATGTTTAATTTGCAATTTTTTTTTTCGTTTCTAATATCGTCTGGTTTGTATGATGGTTGTCCTACTGCTAACATCAACATTCTTATCTCGCATAAATTTTATTAAAGTGATTCTAAAAAAAATGTAGGATTCTTGAGAATAAATACTGTCTTGTAGTGCTTGTTGTTTGATTTATAAAACATTTTAAAAATTTTTTTAAAAATTTTAGCGCTTTCTATTTTTTTTCTTCAAAATACTCATTATCGGTCCGGTGAATTTATGAAGATTATTTAGTGTTTTTGAAATTATATTTTCTCATTATGTCTTAACACAACATGATGTAGGCAGACTGTGAAATAAATGAGAGTTTGACTAAATGTTTTGTCAGAGAATTTTTTCGGAGCTTTTGAAAATAATTTTAGATAAATTCAACTGAAAATATGGAAAAAAAATACATTAAGCACTGTATTTAGATGGTGGGATTTGGAAGAATCGTTCTTGCTCCAAGACCAGTATATCTACATAAATAAAATTTATTTCGTAAAGATTTAAATATGGTGAAACGTGTCAAGTATTATACAGAAATTATTATTGTCTCTTTCCCTTGGTTCACCGTTATGATCTCCTAAATAATTGTTCCCATATATTTACTAGTTCTAATAAAATAAATATTCAGTGTTTACATCAATATGGCATTCAGACCTAGATACTACCTGTTGATCAACTAATTTCCAAAATAAATTTTTTGCGGCATCCGATACAAATATATGAATGTGAGTGGAAGATAGTTGCATAATACTGATTAACGTTTCAACTGCAGATCTCTTGACGTCAGTTTATTGATCTGATCGGTACCACCAAGCATGATTACCCTAGATTATGGTTGTGTACTAATGATGTGTCTGATACTAGGACAGCATCCCCATTCAATACTATCCAATCTCTAATGATTTTCGAACTACAGTTAGTCGGTAGTATAAAACTCCAAACGGTTTTTCGTATGGAATGCTAATCAAATTTCAGTATTCGCTATCATAATTTATACTGGTGAATACAAGTACACTGGTTTTTTTCATTTCACAAAATAGATATAATTCTAAGATATGTTTGATTATTATTATTAGTTTATCCCCTGAGTATTACAAGAACACAACTGTTGATATGACAGTTAGCGTATTTTTCGCGAACTGAAAGCGTATAATCACAAGAATGTTTGATTATTTTAAAAAGCAGATGAAGTACGAAAATGTTTTTCACTTGAAATCGTAAATATTGTAATATTTTTCTCGGTATATCAAATCGTATACAACTGGATTAAAGTATCTTATTTGTAGTTTGGAACTTGATCCATTAAGTAAATGCTATTTCAGAGCACAACATTGGTTCGTAGATATAATAATTCATCATGAAACGATTAAATTATTCGTCTGTGAAATGTACACTTGATTAATAATGTAATTTGAATTTTAAATAACTGCCAAACTCATTTTAAAAATTGATTTGTCTATACACCAAAGAATATCTCATTATTAAATGTCATTATTTTAAATAACATCAGACGCAAAGCTTTATCAATTCATTTCATATAGTATACTTGAATGAAAAAATATAATATACGATTCATAACTGCCTATCATTAACAATATGTCTAATTTTTATGTTTAAATCAGTAAAGTAATAGATAGATAGATAAAAAACGGGGTATTTATATTTAAAATGCTTTAAAAGTAGAACTATTTAAAACATCTAACCGTAAATAGAATACAGATTAAGATTAAAACATTCTAATAACTCTCACTAGTTAGTTAGACAAATTACAATGGACTAAGAAATAAATTTGTAATATCCTACTGAGTAGAAATTAAAATTAATAAAATTTTATTATTTTAAGTCATTTCCATAGGAAGCAATTAAACAATGAAATTAATTTAATAGTTAAAAGTTTAAATAGTATGAGGGGAACAGGCAAAACAATTTTGCACATTTGAAATCATCAATCATTGTTAGAACACCATTAGAAACCTGGAAGTACTGAAAGACGGTCGTTTTCTTCCTGGTATAGGACTCGACAGTGGCAGTGCATGTCCACGACTACTGCACTTTGGAGGATTCGAACCCGGGACCTTCGGTATTGTGCGCGAACGCCTACCCGTCGGACCAAAAAATATCGTTAACAGTGCTCACTAGTGACTAGCTTCGAGGGGAAATTCTCGGACTTCTTGTGAGAAGACGTGACCAATGGAGTTCAACCTTGTCGGGTGTAGGCAGTAACTACCAAAGACAAATGGGTTAGGTCCCGCAAAATCCACAGATCAATCAGAGTTAGACATTAACACCGCTGGATGCCGGCCCAGTGGTCCGATGGTTAGGCGTTCGCGCACAATACCGAGAGCCCCGGGTTCGAATCCTTCGAAGTGCATGACTCGTTGATGCACACTGCTGATGAGTTCCATACCAGGACGAAACGGCTGTCCAGTGCTTACAGGTTTCTAATGGTGTTCTAACAATGATTGATTGATGATTTCAAATGTGTAAAAACCTAAACTTTCAAAACTCTGCCCGAAAATAATTTTGTTCAATCAAAACTAAAATAAGTCTGATTATGTCAATGTCATATCATTTTATTCAGAGTGATTTAGTGTTTTAAGTTATAATGTAATCATCAGTGTTGTGAACTTCTTATACCATCACTGCCTATGCTATTGTTTACATTCGAACTCGGAAAAACTACCGATCATTAAAAACGGTAGAATCTTATTAACAAAGGATCATACAACATTGTGGTTCGAACGTTAGCACTTAAAGTCCTAGACATGAAATTTGAATTCAGTTTCAACAGTATCAATGGATGCAGGTTTATTCAAGTGATAAATTTCAACTTTTGGATAATAAAAACAAATTCAAATTACAAAATTCATCGAGACCATTTTTGAAAAGATAAATGATGGATAGTAGTAGTAGTATCTGGAATGTCAGCACAACAAGAAGTACAATGCTTCTGCATATAGTTTTGAAACTGTATAAAACAAATTTCTTAACTATCATGATAGCCATTACAAAATAAGGATAAAAACCCAAATTAACCAATCATCTTTCAAAATGTCAGCTATATGATAAGTGTGTAAATTTCATTGGCTAAAATGTTTTTTTTGGGGAAAAATGATAATTATATGAACCTAAATTTAACTGATGAATAATTCATACTGAAAATTTAAAAAATTCAACTGGTTAACAGTAAAAAATGTTTCAGTCGAATGTGAAAATATATTGCAGCATTTCGGACTTATGTACAAGCATACCTCCTAGATTGTACACATTTAGATGTGACTAGAAATAACCAAGTACAGTTTATAATAATTAAACACAGTCAGTACTAGCTGATTTACTTAAATGCTTATTTCCAGAAAAATTACTCTTAAATATTATGTAAATATACCTATAACCAACATAAAACCTTATCTAAAGGCTCATATAATATAGACTAACACTGATGTTTAAACAAAAATTTTATTCAGTTATGGAAGTATCATCTTCCTATTATTTTCTTTTTATCCTACTGGTAACTATTTCATATATTGAACATACAAAGGGAGATATTAAGGTTCATACTGCTGTTCAGATTAAACGTCCTTCAAATAATCATTGGATTGATCGCGCTTCGTCCGCTCGTCATTTAACATCATCTATATCAACAACAACAACACCAACAATCAATCCAAATAGATATATTCATCCAAGAAACACATTATCAGTAAATGTAAGTTCTGAGCTGAAAAAGAACTCTATACGACGAAAAGAATTGCAAGATCAACCACAACTACCAAATGGTTATTCATCAACGCATCTTGATTATCGAGACAATCAAAATCATCCAATCATTGAATATAATCAACCTGATATAATATATCCTTACAGAGCGTTGAATACATTTCATAATTTGCCAACATGGTATAATTTACGATATAGACGTTATCCACGAGAAGAACCAAACCATCCTTATAATGATGTCAATTTACAATTACCATGGAATTATAAACCAAAGTGTAGATCATGCGGTCGACCATTATTACAAGATTCATTTTGTGTAGATGATTTCGGTAAGCTTTTACATTATAAATATATATTTATCATTTGTGTTAGTATATAATGTATATGTTTTATATTCGGAGAAAATATCAGAACCAAAAATAAAATTCTGATTGTCGCATGGACTTAAATATGGTAAGCTTTTGCAGCTAAAATCTGTCCAATTTATGTCAAGCTCTCTAGCTTCATGCAGTAGATCATACTTTACGGTTCAGGGTAGTTTAGCGTACATAAACATAAACGTGTCGTTTATTTCAAAAATCTCATATTTTATATTATAAAAATCTTCAACTGATCAACAAAATTTCGTTCACTTTTGTATTTTGATTTTCAACAACAGTATTCCTTAACGCTGTTTACTTTTAGCCAAAAAATTCTATAAAATGTTTACTGCGGTTCGGTAATACTAAACAAAGTCACATTAATTAGCACTTGATATTTGTTTGTTGTATTATTCTTAGCCTTAAGTGTAGATAAACTCTATCGATTGATTAGAAATAACATCGAGGATAGAAAACACAACTGTTGGTCAAACTGAGAATAAAAACAATTGTCTCATTGATTGTTTTATGACTAAATCTATGGAATTATCGGTAGCCATAAATTATACTATAACTAACTAACTAACTGTCATGATATCATGTAAATGATTTCATTCTCTCTCTCTCTCTCTCACTTTGATTTACATTTCATTAGTTGGTTATTTATTATCCCCAATTGAAATCGATTATGTCATAATTAAAAGCAAATATACACTATCGAGTCGTTGTTTATCAACCTTTAACTCAATCAACTGCAAACACTATTCATTCAAATAATTTACGATTAAATAATTTAGTTTTAATATCATTACAAGCAAATGCATGATCTTGTATATAAACTGGAAAATCTTTATCGCGAGTTTCGTCAAACCGCCGACTTTTTTCAATTTAAAGAATACTAAAAATGTAATTAGGAATACCTCGTCGAATGTATTATTGATATACTGATTTTTAAAATAAGATAGAAAAAGAAACTGAAAAAGCTGATAAACTAATGATAATCTGTGTGACAAATTCAAATCAAATCAATGATTGAAATAGTCGCATCAGTACATTGCACACGGTTGCTTTTATTTGTACAAACTTTAACTTTAAACTATAAATAATACTTTGTTCTTTATGGTCTTAGTGATATGTTTTATTGTGAAAAAGACTGTTTGCATTATTAAAACCCAGCGAAACATTTGATTTGTAGAAAATATGTTTGTTTTTTTTACATAGATTTCAAGAAGTGCAAGATTTATGCTACTATAAAACCTTTAGTGATTTACTAATAATTAACCGTGACATGAAATGTGATTATCACCAAAATTTGTTCTTGTTATGAAGACTAATTATGAAAGTGGTAGTTTTAAAATCTAATCTAAAGCATTTTGGTTGTAAAAAGTTTGTTTTTTGATTAAGAACGTGATTTTCAATGGAATCGTTTGATAATCTGTATCACTAAATTGAAGTACAATCTGACGTAAATATACGTACACAGAAGAGAAATATGTAGAAAAATTTATGCAGTTCAGTTACTTCACTTTACCATATGAGTAATGTTTAGATGTTTAAGATTGAGGCTACCTTAGTTTCGAATAATACGAGCATTGTTAATCAATTAGTGACGCCCTTTAACAACACTGGAATTTTGACAGTATCGCACGAATTCACTTATTTAGATTAAATCTTAAATGTCAAATTCATTTACGACACAACTACAAATGTCGTCAGCATTCAACTGACAAACTAAAAATATAATTTTACTATTTCCATTCTAATTTAGTATCATGTGTTAGGCCAATCTGTTTATGGCTTTTTTATGACAATAACGATTGAATCGACAGAAAAATATTCAATAAAATGTCGATACATCTATTGAAAGCATAATTCAGTAAATAAATATATATATAACATAAAAGTTTGACCGATTCGTCAATAAGTAAAGCTAGATTATTTTTATCAGTATAATGAAAAGCTAAAACTTTTTTATTCAGGATAACACATCAAGTCAGTCAAATCAGAGTTCGTTGACGTTAGTAGAGAATGATCTAATGCTATCAATATTATCAAAAATCAGTCTAAAACTTACAAACACAGTAATCCACTGTAACAGTATTGATAATAATGAATAAACTACAACGGAACACTTAGCACATATTTCGCTGTACCATAAATATCGTCCATATTCAAAAGATAATCCAAGCAAACATAAAATATTCAGACAATAACGTTAAGGTATGTCAAACGATCTGCTAAATTTCATTTGCTTAGCCTTTAAAATAGCTAATTTTACTGTTCTTACTTACTTATGCCTCATACCCCAGACGCAACAATGGCTGCTGACCAGCATTCTCCAACCTACTCTGTCCTAGGCCTTTCGTTTCCAGTTTCGTCCATTTTTTGTTTATTCTTCTCTTGTCTGTTTCCGTTCCTATTTTCGCACATCAGTCAATCATTGTTAGACTACCATTAGAAACCTGGAAGCACCGGAAGACGGCCGTTTCATCCTGGTGTGGGACCCATCATCAGTGTTCATCCATAACTTCTGAACCTCGCAGGTTACGAACCCAGGACATTCGGTCTTGCGCATGGACGCCTAAACTTTAGACCACTGGACCATCATACAACGGTGTTAGTGTCTAACTCAGATCAATCCAGATATTTTACGCGATCTCAACCATTTGTCTTCGGTAGTTACTGACTACACCCGACAGAGTTTAACTCCACTGATCACGTCTCGTCACTTGAAATCCGAGAATTTCCTCACAAATCTAGTCACTAATGAGCATAGTGTACGATATCTCAAATTAGAGTTATGTAGATTAGTGTTTTTACACATTGTAATCATGTTTTCCTTTGACCTAGAGGGTTTCAAGTTAAGTGCCTTGTGACTCAGTTGGATGCATTCCTCAATATGTGTCCTCCTAATTCAAGGGCTTCTTCCCGATTTCTTTCTTATTTGGAATCTGGAATATGTTCTACCAGACATGAAACGATCCCTACAGTTTCCAATGCAAAGTCATCAGTGTTTCTAGAAATATGAAGGTTTTTCTGCAACAGAAGTCCTTGGAGTGTATTATGTTATATATTGTTTAACATTGAAAGTTTAAAACATGGAAAGAGAACTCAGTAGCTGGAATGGCCAGCCTGGTCATGAGACCAAAAGAACCTAAAGTTTCACGTAAACAGAACTTAAAAGGCGTGATCTGTGGGAAACTATCCTATTAGACGGGCAAATCCTTGTCGTTGTCTTATGACAATAAACTTAACAACAAATTTATTCAGGTGACAAAAATTCACTTTTTTATTAATTTGTCTCATTATTTTTACTTGTATGCATTTGATAGTTTTTAAGTAAAAAAAACGTTTTCACAAATTCACTGTTGTAATTCATACATAGAACTAGCTGTTCCCATCCCAAATTTCAGTGTGACATTTTAAAACGCATTAGTTTACGTGAATTCTTTTTTAATTGTTATTTTACTGTGACCAACAATATGAATGCTGTTGTTGTTTGGTGTATTTAATACTTTATTCAACAAGTGAAAAACACTTATTCCCATTCACTTGTAAATGTGCGTATATATACAATGATAACTTATTTATTTTGTACAAAAGAAACGATTTTTTTCCCTAAATTGGTGTATTTTCCCTAAATTTATGCCAAATAACTTTGTTGTTACCTTAAAAATTAAAATAATAATTTATGTGAACGGCTGTTGTTATCAGACAACTTCGGGGTGTTTTTGTTTTAAATTCTGGACAAACGTAAAAAACGCTAAACATGGTTGTAAATTAGTTGACCAATTGTCGTGACAGTGTGTTTATAGTCTCACCACATGTAATCTCATGAATGTTCATTAGCGGTGATCTTACTGTGCCAAAATATTTTTTATTAAGGTGTTAAAATATCATCAATACAGTAGTGAAATGAAAGTATCAGACTAATTAAGACTTGAAATTTAAATATTTTGTGCTTTCTTGTTTAATCAACTTAATAAATTTGTCATTGATGTTTTGATCAACAAACTACCTATCTCTGAAGTTTCCTGTCAAGGACTTCCTAGGATAGACTTAAAATTCATTGAAACAAATAGCTGATAACATTGTGATTGAAATTTCATTGCAAAATTTTATAGAATAATTCAGATTTTTAACAAATCCTTCGAAGAAATTCATTTTATAACAGATCTAGTGTATGTGTAAACATCATACTAACATAAATAGACTTATTAGCAGTTCTTTAAGCCTTTTATGCCCAAGGATCTTAAGTTACTGTTTTATCTCATCATATTCAATTGTTCTTGACAGTAATATGCAACAAAACAAACATGGGGCGAATCATTTGATAATTTTACTTAGGAATACTGTTCTTTTTTTTCAATGATCAGAGATGAACAAATTTTACACCAAGTGGTGAATAATGTCATGTTTTTCCAATCATTCATCAAATTAAAATATTTCTACTAATTTAAATTCTTTTGCATCTAGAGAAATATATGTAAATGTTGGGCGGTTCGAAGTAGTTGATGGGAAGACTCAGATATAGTATTCGTGTGATCTGGGTCTAGGCCATGTGGAACGATAGTTAACAGGATGGTTTTAGTATGTGAAAGAGTTGATCACTTATTCTAAGTTACTTTTGTTTAAAGTGTAGATAACAGATAAACTCTTAATGTTGTGTCTCTTATATAAATAAAAACCAGAGGTTGTATGAAGAACGATTTATCAGCAAACTTCAGTTATCTAGTACGTTTATCCCATTTGCATCGATATCAAGTAAATGAACCTTCATATAGATGATCAGAAGTTATAGTAATGAACAAAGAGGCTTTAGTGTCTTCTCGAGCAATAGAACATAAAAACAGTATGTAGTTTGATAGTTATTATTTTTTTATTTTCTTAGTAAATTATTATATGTGGAGAAATAAATTAACAGATCGACTAAAAATAAGAAAAATTAGATGTTAATGATTTAAAAAGAT